GTTTGTCCTCTGCCAAGCATGGGGCCCAGGGTCACCCAGAGGCGCGGGGCTCCCGAGATTCTCTGCTGGAGCGTGGCCGTGGGACTAGCCACCAAGTGACAGCTGGTGGAGGCCCCTCCCAGCCTCACCAACCACAGCTCGTTCAGCCGCAGCAACTTCCCTCTGCTTCCGAAGCTCCTTCTGTGAGCGGCGCACTCCTCAGACATTGGCTCCCGGGAAGTGCACATCGTTTAATTAAAAAATTAGTCCAGCTGCATTTGGTTTCTGATGTGTCCCAAAGTAAAATTTTTGTCCCCAAATAATGTGTCCCAAACCCGCTGCTCCCGTGGCTCAGTAAGTGGCGCCACAGTGTACCCAGGTGCTCAGCGCCCGCACCGGGTTCTCCCCCCTAGCCAACCCCGGTCTGCAGCTCCTCTGTGTTCTACCCCAAAGCGGGTCGTTCCTGGCGCCTCGGGCACCGCCCCCACCACCCCACTTCTGACTAGCTTTGTGCCGGAGCCCCCAGCGCCCTCTCTCTCGCCCACCTCCCCATGGCTGGAACGACCCCTTTAAAAGCCAAGTCGGACACATTCGGCCCTTGCTCAGGGCCTCAAACGGCTTCCTTGGGCCCCTGGAACAAAACATCAAGTCCCCTCTCCGGTCCGCTGGCGCGGTACTCCCTCCCATGGCCCTGCAGCCTCACGTGGACCCCGGTCCGCCCACTCGCTCACCGATATCTCTGCATACACGGCTCTCCCCAGACCTTTGCCTGGTTCATCTCCAAAATTCATGCAGGTGATCTGGACAAAGGTGCTCCCCTTCCCGCCCCTCCCCCCCACCAGATGGAAGCTTCTTCCCGCCTCCCTCCACTCCAGGTGCTCCTCTTGCAGATGAACCTGCTTCCCTTTCCTTTGGGTGCTTGTCAGCACGTGACATTGAGTGACCCGTCTCCCCAGCGTGAACGCGCGGGCTCTGCTGAATGTCCTCAGTGCCAGCGATTATCCAACGACGGGGCACCCGGGTGGCTCAGTCCCTTGAGCAGCCAGCCGACTTTTGGTTTCTGCTCAGGTCACGATCTTGGAGTTTCAGGAGTTCGAGGCCCCCGTAGGGCTCTGTGCTGACAGCATGGAGCCTGCTTGGGATCCTCGCTTCCCCACCCCCCACTTCTCTGCCCCTCCCCCACTCGTGCTCTCCCTGTCTCTCTCAAAATAAATAAACTTAAAAAGTTTTAAGAACGGTCAAATGAGTAAAAGAGCACCCGGCCCTGCAAGGGGAGAGGACTGCCGTTTTGGGCAGCCTCGCTGGGCTGCAGTAGGGCCCATGTGCGAGGCAATGTATGAGCAAGAGCTCGCTGGATTTCTATAATGACCTTGGGAGGTAGGTACTCATAATTCTGTTTTACAAATAAGGAGTCTGAGGCTCCAAAAATCCAAGGGAGACCACACAGCTAGTGACAGGCAGAGCCAGTCTGGACGCCAAGTGGGCCTGCTCCCCGCGGCTGGCTGGCACCACTCTGATGAGCCCCACTCGTGCCCGGTTCCCACGCAGCTCTGCCCAAGGGTCCCCAGAACTCTTTTCACCCCAGAATGCACTCCCTTCATTAGAACGGACCCTCATTTCATTCATTTTACCTTTCCTCTCCGGTCTTCTCACTTTACAAATTCTGGCTCACCACCCAAGATCTCCCAAGAGTTCTTGCCACACGGCCTGCTGGGATGCAGCGAGGAGATGTACCTCCATGTGCTAATGCATTTCCCTCCAGGCCGCCTGGCCTCTGTCATCCTGGCCGGCACGGAGGACGCCGCTCCAGACCCAGCCCGCGGTACAAGACGAAGCCACTTCTTGGGCATCTTTTAGCTGAAGACTGTGTTCCATATTCATGATGAAATGCAAATTTCCATGTTCATGGGCAACTACTAGCATGGTACTGGGAAAGAATTCCAGCTGGTTAAATTTAGGGGCCTGTACAGATTCCAAACCAAGAATATTTTCTGGCAAGTGCCGGCGCATTTTCATCTGATGGCGAACGGGAGTTTTTATTTCCAATCTTGTGCGTCCTGCTTGGCTTCTCAGTAATCGGCTTTTGTGCGCTGGCCCAGCGCCAGGGGCTCTGCTGGCTCTGCGGCACGTCCCCTGTGTCGTTCCATCCCGGCTGCTACAGAGAACAGAGAGGCCTGTGGGTACTGACAATTTGGGCAGTGGGGTCAGATGCATAGGTACGTTTGGACTTGTTTTGTCCCTTCTAGTCTGGTTCTTGGAGTCCCATGTTCCCTCTGGGAGCCTGTGTGAGAGCTGGGTTCTAGAATGTTCTCCCTTGCTGCCTTTGACCTTCCTCTCCCGTGTGGACTGGTTACATTCTCATTTGGTGGATTTCTTCCCTCACTAGCTTTTCCGTTTACTTCTGTCCCAAGCCCCCAGGGTCTGTGTGGCCTTCCCGGCTCTCCTCCCACTTAAGCGCCTCGCTCAACCCCTCCTGCTCTGGGAAAACAGCAATACCAACACTGGACCCCCACCCCCCACCCCCCGTGCCAGGCCCCGTGCTAAGTACTTTTATAGGAGTTAACTCCTTGAATCTCCAAACCACCTTGTGTGATAGACACTCCCCACTTCACCAAGGAGGAAACAGAGGCTCAGAGGAGTTGAGTGACTTGCTCAAGGTCACAGGACTAGGAAAGTGGACAACCCAGGATGTGGCCTGGCTTAACCGTGCTATTTTGCCTCATGACATTTGGCGTTAAGAGCAGACACAGGGCAGAATGGACCCGGGTTTATACACATCTTGGCCCTGCCCTCGCTAAGGACTGTAGGCAAGTCAATTCATTTCTCTGGAGTCTCTTTCTTTGTCTATGAAATGGGCATGAATTTGCTCCTGATTCACTGGGTAGTTTTAAGAGATGAAAGGTGATGACGGCCAGCAGTGAACCTGGCCCCTCAAGCAAGCCTTGGTCCCCTCTGCGGAGCCATCACTGTGTCCCTGGGGTATGTGAGTAGGGGACCTGCGGGGAGGGTGGCGGGGCAGAGCCCACCCAACCTCGTACCCCCCACCCCCTTCATGCTCCTCCGCCACGTGGCCATCTGTCTCCAAAGCTGTTCCAGCCTTACCCGGGCAAGGAAGCTTGGACGCCTCACGCCCCATAAGGAGGAAAAGTAATTTTTGATGAGTAGGGGGCCTGTGTTAAACATCTTTGCCCTCCGCAAGCATCCACGACAGCCCCGTACTCGCATGCGCTGGGCCACGCCCACAGCGCTAGGCCACGCCCACACCGAGCGGGCCACGCCCACACCGCGCGGAGACGCCCCGCAGTGAGCCCCACGCTCCACCCCCTCCCAAGGAGCCCGGCTATTCCGAAAGCAAACTCCATCACACAGTCCGAAAGGAAGTAACAAAACAAAAAAACCCCAAACTTTACTTGCATTGAGCCGTTAATAAATAATTTACAATATGTACACGCGGTGACACTCTACACAGGTCGCAGAACAAGGACGCAGTGAGGGGTCCCCACTTCCAAGCAGAACGCGATCAAACACAACCAAAATAAAGTGCTTCACTTTTTACTTCCAACATCGGGACCATCTAAGACCAGCAGGGCGGGCCGGGGCTGTGCCTCTGCCCGCCTGCGCCTGCCCGGGGCTGGGCAGGGAGAGGGGACCTCTTGGGGAGGAGGTGGGGCGCCTCCGGGGCCAGTGTATGAGAGGTCCCTGGGGGACAGCAGAGGGGCCGGCCAGGGCCGGGCCGCGGGCGCCGCACCCTCGGGAGGGGAGCCCAGCCCGGTGTCGGCCCCTGGGTTCTCCGGAACAGCAGCAGAGGCGGGACCGGCTCGGGACTCCTCGGATGGGCGGCCTGGGCTCTCAGAGGCAAGTCTCCCCTGGTGGGTACGGCCATGGGCTTCAGGGAGGGGACGAGAGGGAGGAGACCGTCCAGGGACGCTCAGGGCAGAGAGGCCGCCGGGCCCTGCTCCTCTCCCCAGTGCGCAGACCTGGGTGCATGGGTGCGGAGCAGGCAGGGAGGACGAAGAAGACCAGGGCAGGCCAGCTGGCCCCGTCCACTGCGCCCCCTGCCCACTCCCTGCAGCCCGAGCCCCCGCCCCCCCCTCCCTCCAGGAGGCTCTTGCCACCCGCTGTCGAGAAGGGAACAGAAATCAAGGTGTGGGGGAGGGGAGTTCTGTTTAGACATTTAGAAATGAGGACGTGTCCTCCTAAGCACAGTGGAGAACGGGGGCGGGGAGGGAAGGAGCCAGGGCAGGGCATCTGGGCCCAGGAGTGGCGTCAGCTGCGGGCTGGCAGGCGGGGGCCGGTCACCGAAGCAGGGGCGCAGCGGCCACGCCGCACACAGTCGCCTGGGCTCACAGGGAGGCCGGGGGCGGGTGGGAAGGCACCAGGCGGGCACAACCTTCCGGTTGAAGGGTTACGATCTGCTGACGACGGCGACGCCGCCGCCGCCGAGCAGCCCCCGGGGTTGTCCTAAGGCCCATGGGGAAAGGAGGCCCTGCCTGGGGAGGGAGGGGTCCAGCCTCTCGGATGCCTCAGCCCCTCAGCTTAGTGTGCGCGAGTGTGCTCGTGAGTGTGTGTGCGTGTGGCGGGCGTGGGCAGCAGTCAGCTGGGCCTGTTTCAGTGCATTGCAGGGGAGGGAGGAGCTGGACTCTGATCAATCCCAGTGTCTCTGGCGGGGAGGGGGCAGGGGGGCGGGCTTCGGCCCGAGGGGCTCTGTTTTGCACATTCACACTGCGGGGCGGGTGGAGGGGGGCGCTCCCCTCTCACACAGCTCTATTGTCACAAACATCACAGCACCGGTCACCACAACCTCTCTCGGACTCCCCCCCACCCCCGCACCCCCGACGACGACGTTGGGGGCGCGGTGGGGGGTGGCCCGATGCCCCAGCCTTTGCCCGCAGATGGCGCAGGGCAGCTGCGAGGTAACCGTCCACAGCCCACCGGCTGGCGGCCGCCTCCACCCCTGACACCCCGGCGGACACTGCCCCCCCCCCGCACCCCCCGACGGCCCCAGCCACCCTGCAGCCACCCGCTGGCTCAGGGACACGCAGCGCCCCGCTCTCTGGCCTACGCGGCCACGGCCTCCAGGATGGCGGGGAGCAGCGTGAGGAGCAGGAGGCTGCCCAGGAGGGGAGGGGGGGCGGGGGGCAGCCCCGCGGCGGCTGCCCGGCCCGGCGGCTCCCGAGTCCTCTCGTACAGGTGGAGCCTGTCTTTGTTGGAGTGCAGCATCTTGACGTCCTCCAGGGCGTAGTAGGCGGCCAGCGTGAAGTTCACGTCGCCCGTGGTGAGCAGGTCGAAGACGCAGGCCTGGTAGTAGAGGTCCTCCACGGGCAGCTTCTCCTTGCACTTGGCCACGGCCGTCTCGTAGGGGAAGGTGTCGGCGGCGGCGGGCGCGGGGCTGGCGGCCGCGGGCCTGCGGGTGCCGGGGCCCTCGGCGTTGGCGCGGAAGGCCTGGAAGTCAATCTGCTGGTTGAGGGGACAGCCGCGCAGGCAGAGGTAGAGGCCCTGGCTGTCCCGGTCCTCCACGGCGTTGACCACCTCCTCCGGCATGCGGACGGCGAAAGTCAGGTACCGGCCCACCTGGCGGACCACGATGGTGGTGCCGATGTACTTGGCCTGGATCTCCACGTGCTGGCCTGACACCTTCTCCGTGATCTTCAGGCTGTTGGCCCCGTGCTTGTCCCCACCGTTCTTGGAGCCATCGGCGAAGGCTGCCGGGAGCTCATCCATCTCAGCCTGGTACACCTTCTGGTCGACGCACTCCTGAAAGTTCTTGAAGATGATGGTGAGCTGGGGGGGAAGGGGGGGAGGAGGAAGGGGCGGAGAAAGGGGGTTAGGTGGTGCTGAGATGGTGGTGGTGGGAGGGGGGAGGGCCCAGGCCCATGCTGGTGATGCTGGGGACAGGAGGGGCCCCACGATGCTCCAATTCCCCATTCTGGTCACCTTTTGGCATCACCTGCATTACTATGCACTTAAATTTTCCCTTAAAACAACTTGTTTTACTAGAGGACAAAGAGGGGGGAAAAAGGAGAGAAAGAGAATCCAAGAAACAGAAACCGAGAAACTATAGAGAACAAACTGATGGTTACCAGAGGGGGTGTGGGAGAGGTGATGGGGGAAGTAGGTGATACGGGTTAAGAATACACTTAATGGGGCATCTGGGTGGCTTAGTCCGTTAAACGCACAACTCTTGGTTCTGGATCAGGTCATGGTCTCATGGTTCGTGGGTTTAAGCTCCATGCTCGGCTCTGTGCTGATGGTGTGGAGCCTGCTTGGGATTCTCACTCTCTCTCTCTCTGCCCCTCCCTGCTCTCTCTCTCTCAAAATAAATAAACTTAAAAAAAAAACTTAAAAAGAATACACTTAACATGATGTATAGAATTCTTGAATCACTATATTGTACAGCTGAAACTAACATAACACTGTATGTTAACTACACTGGAATTAAAATTTAAAACTTTGGCACCTGGGTGGCTCAGTTGGTTAAGCATCCGACTTGGGCTCAGGTCATGATCTTACAGTTCGTGAGTTCAAGCTCCGCATTGGGTTCTGTGCTGACAGCTTGTAACCTGGAGCCTGCTTCAGATTCTGTGTCTCCCTCTCCCTCTGCCCCTCCCCTGATCACGCTCTGTCCCTCTCTTTCAAAAATAAGTACACACTAAAAAAATTTAAATTAAAAACTTAGTAAAAAAAAAAAACACTTGTTTTACTTAAAAAAAAAAAAAAAAAGACTTAGAAAGGGAACTTCAGGTCACTGCCCTAAATAGGAAACCACTGACTGTATATAGAGAGGTGAACTGTAAAAAGAAACACATAGCTAATTAAAAATAAAAGTTCATTATCTATTATAGTAGGCTGAGTAATGACCCCCAAGATATCAGGCCCTAATCCCAGCAGCTGGTGAATGTTACCTTATATGCCAAAGGAACTTTGCAAACATGATTATGTTAAGGATACAAAGATGGAGAAATGATCCTGGATTCTCTGGGTGGGCCCCAAATATAATCACACGTATCCTCCTGAGAGCAGGGAAAGGGTGAATGGACCACAGAAGAAGGGAGATTCTCCACCGAAGCAGAGACTGGAGGGATGTGACCACAGCCCAGGGGTGCCAGCAGCCACCAGAAGCTGGAAGAGGCACTGACCAGATTCTCCTGGGAGCCTCGAGAAGGCCCGGCCCTCCTAACACCTTCGTGTTAGTCCTGAAAGCCTCATTTCAGATTTCTCGCCTCCAAAGCGACGGGCGAATACGTTTCTGCTTGTTTGAAACACGGCGTTCGTGGTATTCGTTACAGCAGCCGTAGGAAACGAATACTGTCCACAGTCACCTAGCACGATCTTTCAAGCTGCAGACCTGCAGCCAAATTCCTTCCAAATGACTGTAAGCCACACGCTGAATGTAACAGACTCCTGCTCAGAGAAAGAATGAGCGGACAGAGGCCAGCAGAGGCAGGGCTCCGTAGGGGCCACCTAGCTGGGCCCTGAAGGTGAGCAGGAGGAAGAGGAAGAGGAGGAAGGCAGGCAGAGGTGGGTTCCATGCTGAGCAGAAGCCCTGACCGGGGCCAGAGCAGGAAGGCCCGTTTCCGCTGGCGCCTGCAGCTGGGGGTGAGGGACTGGGCTCAGCTGCTGGGGCAGGAGCAGGCAGTTAGGTGTTTCCACTAGTAACTGTCCTCCTGAGAACCACAGACACAGGCGCTGTCGCTCCAGTGGGTGTGCTGGGCACCGTACGTGTCACTTCTGGTCCTATGAGGCACTACCAGGGAGAATGACATTCCCTCCCGTTTACAGTGCAGAGAATTCAGGCTCAGAGAGGCACAATGACCTGCCCAAGGTCACACAGCCAGCAACAGGCAGAGCTGGGTTTCGTCTCTCGGTTTCCAGCCCCTGGGCTCTTTCCCGCCACAAGCCCACACAGGGTGGGAGGCCCTGGGAGAAGGGCGGGAGATGCCCGGCCCAGGGAGGGCGTGCGTTTCCCCGTTACCCAGGCTGCAGTGCCAGCCTGCGCCTTCCTCCATTATCCTAACCGGGAAGCCTGCATGGGTTGGAGCCATGAGTCAAATCTGGGAGAGAAACCACCACTCTTCCTTCATTCCTGTTCCCGGGGTGCCAGCTTTTAACCGCTGGTGGCTCCGGGCGCCTCAAAGGCCACTGTCCACCCCCCTTCTCCCCGCCCCGAGCCAAGGGCAGCTGGAACCCGGACTCCAGCCCAAAGCCAGGGAAGCAGGTGGGGTCCTGGGGCAAGATGGCAGCCAGGCCTTTGGGGGCTCCCTGCTTAACCCCCCACCCCTAACCACTGTTCCTAGAGCTTGTCTCCCCACTCTCAGCCACCAGGCCCCAGCCTCCTGTCCCCAAGAGCTGCGCTCCTGGCCAGCTGAGCGGGTAACACACCTCAGAGGGGCTGCAGGCCCAGGGGGTCCCAGCAAAGGGCAGGGGGCTGCTGGTGACACGGATGCCCCGGCTGTGGCTGAATTCTGTGCCTGGCACCCTGGTCAATGCAGCAGCGGATGACTGCCTGGGGGGGCCCTCGGGGTAGAAGCGGGGGTGATGCCGCGAAGCGCTAAAGAAGTTTCTGGTCAAACAGTGGCTGTGCGACACGGGGAAGGCCCAGGCACACTAGGAAGCGCAAGCGGGTCCTGCAGGCAAGGGGAGGAGGCGGGATAGCTGTGGGGGACCTCAGCTCAGGCTGAGCGGGAAGGCCAGGGCTGAGGGTGGGGTCTGGGGCCGGGCCACAGGCCAGTTGGTGCGGCTGCAATTCAGTGGGTGCGGGGTTGGCCCTGCGGCACAGACAGGAGGCTGAGGGGGTAGCAGCACTCAGCTTGGGGCCTCAGAACTACGGAAACAGGCCTGAGGCCTGGACGGGGTGGCCCAGGGGCCACAGAGAGTTCTTGGCTAAGCAAACCAACAGGGTAGCCAGGGCCCAGCTGGGGGTGCCCAGGGCTGTCTCATCGCTGCTCTGTGCGCGCCCCCAACACTGGTAAAGCGTAGGGGTGACCAGGCCGGGAGAGCATGAGGGGCCTGGGCCTTCAGCGAGAAACTCCCCCTTCTCACCCTGATACTCAGAAAGGTGAGGATGAGGGGATGAGAGAGGGGCCGCAGTTAGACTTTTGGGGGCTCCCAGGCTCCTGGGCCTTCCTCCACCCAAAATTTGAAAAGCACATTTTGTGACCTGCATTGCTGTCCAGACTGTTAACAGTCCAGACTGGCTCGTGCTGAGCTTTCCCATCTGACTTTAAAACAAACGAACGCTTCCTCGTGGGGCCCCACGGGGCCCGGTGAACGGTCGGGACTGAGCAGGACACATTCCGCTTGCCCCGTCCCTCCCTGAGGTCACCACCTGGCCCCAGGAAGCGGTGCCCTTCTGGTTTGCTGCGGGATGTCAACAACGGCGGCCGCGCCTCCCCGTCCAGCTTGGAGCCCTGCTCTCGGAGCCCGGGGGCCTCCGCCGGCTGCCGTCGCCGGGCCACCAAAATGGTGACTGCACGGCTCTACCTCCTGCCACTTCCTTCTCTCCATCCTGTGGCTCCAGCCCTGACGTGGAGGCTGCCTGTGGGGGGCCCCGGGGGGTGCAGCCAGGGAGGTCTGGACAGTGGGTGGTCCTGCCGCTGGGGAGGGGGCGAGGGTTGAGGGGCTCTGGTGTCCCTGCCTGGTGTGCCGGTGGGGGGGGGGAGAGGGGGTGCCGCTGCTTTCCCAGTGCCCTCAGCCTCCTGGAACAGGAAAGGCTGCTTTCCCTCTAACCGTCATCTCTCGTGGAGACAGGCTCCTGGAAGAGGCTGCTAGACGCTTCTCGGCACCAGTGCCAGGGACTCAACCACAAGTAACAGCATGAAGGGGCCTGTCGAAAGCCGGGCGGCTCGCTGCCAGCACGGCCACGGGTGCGGCTGCCACTCCTGTCTTTCCTGCCCCCCTGCCCAGAGGGGTCTGAGCAACCCCCCAGCCCCCACCTCGCCAGGCCCAGCACTGGAAGCTGATCCACACCAGGGGAGAGTCCAAGACCCTTCACACTCCAGGGGTGACACACCAAATAGGAGAGTGAGGCAGTGTGACCCAGGGTAAGTTCTAGAGGGAAGGCAGAGGGCAGAGCAGAGACCCAAGTCCCTCTCCTCCCCGAGCCTCGGTTTTCGCATCTGTACAATGGGGTGCTACCAGCACAGTGAGGCTGGGGGCTGGGCAGAGAAGGAAGTCGGGGCAAGTGGGGGTGGGAACCCAGCTAAAATGCCGGCTTTGGTTGGAAAACCCTACATCTCGATCACCTACAAGAACAGTGTTGGACCGGGGCCGGATAATGCCCGGATTCCAGGAAACGAGCCAAGGCCCCCTGGGCGACAGGCGGGCGGAGAACAGTTGGGTTCAAGTGGGCAGAAGAGGCAGGCAGAACGCCCTTGTGGGGAGGCACGAAGGCCCCTCAGAGATAACAGCCCCTTGGCTTCGGGTGCTTGTCCCCAGGCTCCAGGCTGCCCTCCCATCTCTCCCCCAGGCTTCTGCTCCTGTGGCTCCCATCCCCCCACCCCCCTCTGCAGAAGGACTCGGAGGAGGCCCCGCCCAGTGCTCTGGGCAGAGCGGGGCCAACCAAGGCCCAGGGCATCCCGCACCCACCCCAGGCACCCCAGGCCAGCTTTGTTCTCCATCATCAGCCTGGAACTAGCCAGGAGGGGAGGAAGCACCCCTAGGGTTTTGCGCAAACGTTTGTGGAATCAATGAATGAACAAAACCAACACACCTGCGTCGTGGAAACCTAAGGAAACAGGCGCGGGCAGGCCCAGGGCGCTGGAAACGGGCCACCGATGCCTCCACCCGGGTACCCCCTCTGCCCCGAGGCCTGAGCAGACGGGCCCCGTTGCTGTCGGGTGTCCAGCCGGGCCCCCTGGCTGGTGAGGGTGAAACAGAAAGCGGCTGGGCTCTCAGCCTGCTGGGATGACACAGGTGACGCGAGGTCACAGCAGATAGGGGCCTGGTTGGTGGAGCTCTGCGGAAGAGCTCCCTACTTTCTAGAACCTCGAAGCCGGGACAGGAAGAGAGGTGCTCCCATCCCCGTCTGGCACTTCTTTCGGCTACAGGGCCTGGTGGCGGGCCGGCCACAGAGCGCGTCTGAATGGGTGGCACACCAGAACGAAAGGAGGACTGATCCATTTGGTTTGGGGACAGCATTGCTGGGCTCGGGCTCCCAGCGGGTGCCCGTGAAGAGCGGGGGGTGGCATCCAAGGCTTCTAAGCCGAGGCACGTCACCCCAGCCTGTGCGACCCAACAGAATGTGGCCTAAAGGCTATCACTACAGCCGGTCCCCGGTCAATGGGGAGCAGAGGCCCCCGATTCTTCCCACAATTCTCCCCAGGTCTGTGCTTGGCTCTGTTATCACATTTGGTGCTCGCGCTGCCCCGGGTTAGGAGTGGCAGGGCCTGCAAGGTCCAGGACGCTCTCACACCCTCAGCCTCCTCTGTGTGTCCCCGCCAGGACGGGACAGGGAGGCGCGGTCCCCTCCTGCAGTATGTTTGCTGCTGGATTTAGAAGCTGCAGCCTCAGGCTCCTGGCGTTCATTTATCTTGGCTGTCGGGAAGGAGGGAGGTGGGTGGGTGCAGGGGCCGCAGGGAAGGCGGCTGGGTCCTTGATGTGCCTCCCCGCCCCACCCCCCCTGCTTGCGGAGGGCTGAGAGGGCGGACGGGGTAGAGAGAGCACTGGCCACAATTCTGCCGCCCACTAGGCTTCACGGCCCGATGCCAAGACCCTGCTGGGGCATCCACGGGGCCAAGACCTACTTGTTTCCGCCCCTGCCGATGGGCCCAGTAGGAGACCCTCTGGACGCACAAGAAAGCCCCCGGAGTGGGGGGGGGAGGGGTGGCGGGAATTTTCCTGGCTGCCAGGTCACCTCACTGTCCTCCTGGGCGTGGGGGGACAGGAAGGAACAGAAACAGCCTTGTGGACCAGCCTGGCACTGCCCAACAAGCCGCCTCGCAACGTGCTTTTCTTAGGAAAACAGACCCAGTGCCAGCCTGGAAAGCCCTGGGGGCCGCGGTGCGCCAGGCCCCGAGGACGCACACGTACCCTCACCGCCCCCCCCCCCCCCCCCCCCCCCGCACTCCCAGAGCCCATTGGCCTCCTGGCCTCGAGGCTGCGCCCTCTGGCTGGCTGAGTCTCAAGGGGAGGCCACGGGAAGCCCTCCTGGAAGTGGGGAGGGGAGGGAGGACCTGGGGAGGACGGGGGAGTCCAAGTGCTTGGGCCACAGGCCACATGCGTGGCTGCCTCTGGTCCCGCCACCCAGATACTGAGGCCTCCTCGGGTCAGAAGATGACCTGCTCCCAGCGGCCTCTGGGGCTCCAGATGGTTCGGAAACGCCTCTCATGGCAACAAGAACGTGGCTGGTCTAGAGCCCCCCGGCCCAGGTCACTGCTAGCTCGTGGTTCCCAGCCGACCGAGGGTGGAGAAGCGCCTCCCATTTGGGGGCTGGCCCGAGGGAGGAGAGAGAGCTGCGTGGGTGGCCTCTGGGGTGCTCAGTGGGCTGGTTCTCTGCCCTCACCTGTTCCAAGCCACCACAACCCTGTCTGCTTTGGGGCTGTGGCTTCTCAACACAGGCGTGGGGCAAAGGGAGGGCAGGAGGGTACCCCACAGCTCTGCTGACCCCATCAGCATCCTACGGCCCTGGCGTCCCTCATCCCCTCCACGAGCCAACACTGGGGGCTTTAAAAAAAGAACACACGCCTGAACCAATCCACAGATCTGGTGTCATACTGGCCCGGGCGGGGGTGGGGGGTGGGGTAGCCCAGAATCATCATTTCTAAAACTTGTTCAGTTTGTAACTGTGCAGCCATGTGAGATGCCCGGGGCAGGATGTCACCTCCAGGGGCTGGCTGGGTCCGCTTGTCCAGGGCGGATAGGAGTTTGTCCTCTTTGAGAGTAAAAATGGAAACCTATCTATAGAGAGGCTCCTCTTTTATCGGGGTTTTAATACTGGAATTCTACCACAACACAGATTGGGGGCAAGAAAAGAATATCCCACAAGTCCGAAACTGAGGCTCTGGAGAGTGCTTCTAAAATTTGTGCACAAGGTGCCTGGGTGGCTCAGTTGGCTAAACATCCTACTTCGGCTCAGGTCATATCTCGTGGTTCGTGGGTTCGAGCCCTGCGTCGGGCTCTGTGCTGACAGCTCAGAGCCTGGAGCCTGTCTTCGGATTCTGTGTCTCCCTCTCTCTCTTCCCTTCCCCTGCTCACTCTCTGTGTCTCTCTATCAAAAATAAACATTAAGAAAATTGGGGCGCCTGGGTGGCTTAGTCGGTTAAGCGTCCGACTTTCGCTTAGGTCATGATCTCGCGGTTCGTGGGTTCGAGCCCCGCGTCGGGCTCTGTGCTGACGGCCAGCTCAGAGCCTGGAGCCTGTTTCAGTCTGTGACTCCCTCTCTCTCTGGCCCTCCCCTGCTCACGCTGTCTCTCTCTCTCTCTCCTAGAAATAAATAAAACATTAAAAAAATTAAAAAAAAATAAAATAAACATTAAGAAAATTAAAAAGTAAATAATAAAATTTGTGGACGATCATCTCAGGAGGAAATCTATGTTACTCCCAGACCCAGCATTTGTGCTGGTACGGGCGTACGCACGCACGCGCACACGCACGCACACACACACAGAAACTGAGCCTCCTGAAATGTGTCCCCTTACCACATACAATGCATTCACAACTTGCCTTTCCTATCCGTGCTGGATTATGCCATCTTGTTCTACCCTGACCAATTAAAAAAAAGGTGCCATGTGTATACCGGTTCCTGACCCCAGAAAACTGACTTCACAACCCCTGGTGGGCGGTGTCTGGCAGTCTGAGGAATGTCACTCTCCAGGCAGCATGAAGAGGTGGTTCCAGGTTGGCTGATCTCATGACAAAGATTCTCTGGAACATTCCTAACTCACCAGCCCATTTACTGAAAATAAGAACACGGGGGAGGGTGCAGGAGGTGCCTGGGTCTGGGCCCTGGTCACAGCCCGACGCCCACGCCTCAGCCTTACCTTGCTGGTGGCGGTGGCGGCGGAGCCGGGCAGCACAGGCGTGTTGGTGACCTGCACGTTCAGGTAATTGTTGTCGATGAGCGGCCAGGCGCCCTGCACCTTGCAGGTCTGGAAGCGGTCTGTGAAAGTCCTGAGGTGCGGGTCCCCGAAGAGGCCGCAGTGCGTGTAGTTGGGGGCCGCCGAGTGCTTGTGGAAGCTCTTCTCGTAGTGGCAGATCTCGGGGCTGTCGGAGCGCTCCTGGCTGTCGCCCGGCGGCGGAAGGGTGCGCAGGCGCGGCTGCGACGTGGGGCCATCCTTGGAGCAGTTGTACTGGCTCATGAGGTCCTCTATGCCATGGACGGCCGAGTGGTAGGCCAGGTCGCCCCGGCAGGTGCGGGCCGTGCGCCGTGTGCACAGGGCGTAGGTGCGCAGCGCCGCGCAGAACTCGGGGGCGTCCTCCGAGGCCGGGGAGTGGCTGCCCGCCGTGGCGCTCCAGAACTCAGAGTTGCACTTGAGGATCTTGCACGGGGACGTGGCTGTGGGGAAAGGAAGGGACGCTCCGTCAAGGTCACTGGGCCAGCTCCGGCCCCCTTACCCCTGGGGGCCAGCGCCCCAGGCACACGCACAAGGACGTCTCTTCCCAGGGGGCGCCACCGTGCCGCACGTTGGCACGCAGATGGCGAATAGTGCCCGCAGGTGGCAGTGCAGTGTGCGACCTGCCCTTCCTAGCCTTCTGCCCAGAATGACCCCGAGTGGCCAGACGAGCAGGTCCGCCCGCCGCCAGGGCTGGTGGAGGTCCCTCCCACTGTCCCCAGCCTGTAAGGAGGAGTGGTCAGTGGGCAGCAAGACTCTGCGAGCTCGCAAGCCACCCTGCGGCGTTGCACATCTGCTGACGCCTTCACAGCGATCCCCAAATACTGAAGCTCGACTATTCAGTATGTGTCCTGGCCTCTACTACCGTGTGACCTTGCAGAAATCACCGGACTTCTCTGTGCCTCATTATACTTCCGTAAAACGGGACAATATAGTATGTACCTTATGAGGCTGCTCAGCGTGTTACGAGACTAAAGACGGCAGTGACGCAGATCAGAAGCTCCATGAATGTTGGCTAGTTGACTCTAGGAGCTTTGGTCACAGAAGACCTGGGGCCACCCTGTCTGAAGAGCAAGAGAAGCGTCCCTGTCGGTCGCCACAGCTCCATCCCTCCTCTATCCTGCTCAGCTCCACAAGCTGGGAAGCAACGGACAGTACTAACCTTGGATCTGCCTTAATTCACATTTCTTAAAAAGTCACCGACAAGCTTTGAGGCCTTAGCGGTAATTAGCTACAAGTGACCGCACCTGAGAACTGGGGCTTTGACACACCTGCATCTTGTACCCGGACACGTAGCACCTGCCCTTTCCCCGCCTCCCAGATTTCTTTGCACAGTCCATCTGGCTTCAGTGACCAGGCGTGCAGCCCGGCAGCAGGAAGGAACCTTCTAGGCAGGTTCAAGCAGCAAAGGGGCTGGCGGACCAGTTGGGGGGGGGGGCGGGGCAGAGGGGATGTGGGGGCAGCTGCAGCCCGGTGCTGGAATGATCAACAGGAGAATTGGGCTGTTGCTTCAGCCAGTCCTGCCACTAGCCTGGCTCATGAACCCTTGGAAAAATCAGTTTGCTCCTCTGGGGCTGGCTCTTGACCTATAAAATCAAGCTGCAAATAAAGGCAGGGACAGAAGTGCTCCCGGGCAGGCGAAGGAAACAACCACCTGAGAACCTGTCACCTGGATAGCCTGTCTCTGGGGGGATCTATGCCCCCACGGCCACCTGCCGGAGCTGAAGCTGACCGGGCCGGCTCACACCCCTGGCGGCCGGCGCTCCTCTCGTCCTAAAATTCAGGCCCCTCCCCGACTTCTCTTGTGTATGTCACACTACTGGCCAATTTGGGGGTTTCAGGTGGAAACTGGGTGGCCATTTTTTTCTTTTGAGACGTTTTCTTTCTTCCACGTGTATTAGGACGAATAAAACCAATACGGTAGAAAAGCCATGGATTTTTCCATTTTAATAGCTTTAAAATTGAAGACTTCAGCAGACCTGGCTAATAAAACGCCACCTGGGGGACGCGGGAAAAGCTGTGGGTGAGAGAGCCACCCCACCCCCCACCCTGCATGGTCTCCCTCCCACAGGGATGTGCTCCTGGGGGCAGGTGTCCTTTGAAAGGCAGCTAGAAGATTCTCCAGCCATGCTCTCTTCGTGTTTCTTTTCTCCTCCCAATTTTTTCTTAATGTTTATTTATTTTTGAGACACACACACACACACACACACACACACACACACACAGTGAATGGGGGAGGGGCAGAGACAGAGGGAGACAGAATCTGAAGCAGGCTCCGAGCTGTCAGCACAGAGTGCAACGCGGGGCTTGAACTCACAAACACTAAGATCATGACCTGAGCCCAAGTCAGAGGTTTAACCGACTGAGCCACCCAGGTGCCCCTGCTGGAAGACAGCCAAGACCCAACCTGGCCAAGATGCTAACGTGGACTATGTGAGAGAAGGCAGAGGAGCCCCTTGTGATGGAGGGGAGGGGAGAGGAGGGGAGGGGAGGCTTTCTCAGGATCCTGGAGACACGATACCAAAGAAAGAAACTACCTGAAAGGGACACAGGTCAGTGCAGAGTGGCAGCCGCCTGGGCTATGCCCACCGCTCGGCCACCAGCCCCGGGGGCCTGGCCTGCCGCCCGGTGTGGGTGCCCCTCCGGCCCTCACCATGCCCGAAGTGGAGAGGGACCACCACCAGCCCCTTTACAGCCAGATCACTGCAGCCCACGCACGGCTTGCACTGGCCTCCACTCCCGCCAAAGCTGACCCAGGGACAGCAGAGGGTAAAGTCACGGCTCCTTACTGTCTCAGGCCGGGGCCTCACCTCAGCCAGCCCTCCTGGCAGCCCCGGGGTCAAAGCCAGGCTGGGCATGGCTGCTTCTCTTGCCCAAAGTCTCCCTGAAGAAGTGGAAGCAGGATTTGAATCTGGACTGTTGGACCTGAGAGCCCATGCCAGGGGGAGGGGTGGGGGGGAGGGGGGCATTTCCAAGTCCTCACATAATTAGCACATTCACGATCGCCTCCGGCATCCGCCCAGCGGTTCAAGGGTACACTTCACCGCAAAGCGGCCCTCAGCCTCTCCCTGAGGACCCCGCCAGCTGGGAGCCCCGCGGTCTGCAGGCTCTCTGTGGCCTGGTCCCCAGTTCCCAGGGGCCCCACCTCAGGGTACGGCCCACAGGTTGGCCAGGGGCTGGAAGGCAGGGGTCAGGAAAGGGGCCTAGGGCAGGACGTGGCTGCACACAGACAATGTGGGACAGGCAGGGTGTCTCACCCCTGACTCTATTTGTGGCTCTAACCCACTAATGGGGGACCCCCCCAGATGGTGATGACAGTCTAGTATCTTCGCAGCCCTGAAAATGGCCCCGAGCAGGGTCCCGGCCGCAAGCTCTCCAGTGTGTCTGGACTTCATGCTTGAAATCGTATGGAGATGCCCTGAAAGGGGGTCCCTCACATGTTCTGGGGATATCAAGTGCTATCTGCCGGCACAGATGTGACCCTTGATACTCCGTTCAGAGCAGCGCGCCTGGGGCATCACACTGCACACCAACCGACTGGGCGGGGGTTGCGGGGGCGGGGGGAGCAGAGAGAGGGGTCAGCTCTCCCAAGGAGTGAACCCTAAGCAGCCCCGGGGGGGCTGTCTCTCTGTCTCTCAGTTCAAACTCCGCAGGGCTCCTTCACCTGCTCCCCTCCCCTTCCCAGAGCCGCTGGGAAACGGCCACTGGCAAAGCAGCCCCGCCCACCACCCATCACCGGGTGACCCTGAGGTCGCTCTTGGGCTGCCCTTGCACCCAGGAGCCAGGCCTTCCATCTGAGGCCAGGTCTCCACAGAGGGGAGCTCGTCCACACCCCGCTTCCCCTTAAGTCCTGCCCATCCCGATTCTCAGCCATCGGCAGAATGTTCTCGATGCTGTCACCCAGGACCAGGATGGAAATGGGGAGGTGTGAGGGTGACAGCGGCCAGGTGGTGTAGTGGGCTGTGGGCACTGGAGGGAGAGTGTCTGGTTCAAAGTCCCGCTCTGTCCCTACCAGTAGTTGTGGCAACATGATTCTACCTCAGTTTCCTTATCTGTGAATTGGGGGTAGCACCTGCCTTAGGGAGCTGCTAAGGATTAAATAGGATGCACTGAGCGGGCCCGGGACCCAGTGGGCATTCACAAACAGGGGCCCTGACAAAGGTCGCAGAGGGAGATGACCTCCCGCACCCCCACGGTGAGGTGAGAGGTTAGAAATCACAGGCGGGGACAGGAAGGGGACAGGAAGGGCACTGGAGCGTCCCTCCCTCTACCCCTCCCTGGGCACCACACTTCCCAAGGGGGGCACCCGGGATAACTTTGCCGCTACCTCACTCCCCACCTTTCACCAGGCGTGTCCGCCCCAAATTCCTACGCTGCAGCCCCAGCCCCAGTGTGACGGTACTTGGATTGGTGGGGGGGGGGGCTCTGGGAGATGATTAGGTTCGATGAGGTCACGAGGTGGAGCCCCCATGATGGATTAGGGCCCTTCTAGGAAGAGGCACAGGACTCACACTCTGCAACGTGAGGACGCAGCGAGAAGGCGGCCGCCGCAAGCCAGGAGAGCTCTCACCGGATCCAAAGGCGCTGGCACCCTGACTTCCAGCCTCCAGAGCTGCAAGCCTTGCTCCCGTCTCTCCTCCCCTTCCGGGGCCCTCCCGCACCCACCCCTGCAGAAGCCACGCTCACTGGAGACATTTGTGTGGCCAGAGGCCAAAAGATCAGGTGGGCTCCACTTCACCTGATTCCACTGTCCCTTCTTCTCGCAAGGACCTGTGGTCACACAGGGGTGACCCAGGCTGGGACGACTCTCCCGGCTCTTGAAGGGGGAGAGGGCGTCCAGGAGGCAGAGACGAACCCAGTTCTCATCTCCCGCTGGGCGCCCCTCTGTCCTGCCAGCCTGGGTGACCCAGTGTCCGTGTGTGGCCCTTCCCCCTGCCCCCCTTGTTGCCAAGGTGGCCCACAATGCCTCTTCCACCCATTTCCTGGCAACTCTGGGTCCCAGAGCACAGTTTCCACAAGTTCCCTTTACTCCTGTTAATGAATAAATGCACAGACCCGGGGGTCCGTGAGACCAGGCAAAATGAAGGCACTTGCAGTTGCCCTGCTCAGAGACCACACCGGGGTCAAGTCCGTGCCTGTGACAGATTGAGTGTCACCGGGCAATGCCGACTTGGAGATTCTCAGGAAACGGGGGACCTCACTTTGAAGGGCAGTAGTGGTGGGGAGGGTTTAATGGGATGTGCTCTGGGGGCAGATGATCGTGGTCAAATTCCAGCTGTGCTGCTCAGTGGCTGTGTGGCCATGGGCCATACGTTATGTTTCTCTGTGCTCCCGGAATACATCAGTGCCTTGGTCAGTATCTATTTCAGGGACCAGTGGAGCTGACGGCAGCAAACCCTGAGAACACTGAAGGAAGCTTGGCGGAAGTCACTTTTGTGTTAAC